CCCCCAGCAGTGCAGCTGGCCTGGCTCTTTCAGCCCCTGTAGCTGAATTTAATAACCTCTCTCTTGGGCAGAGATCAGCGGGGCTCTGAGAAAGCTGCTTCAGAGAAAACAACACCAAGCTATTTAAAAGCTGCCATGTAATGCCTGGAGTCCCTGGGTGGCACAGACGGTTAAACACTGAGCTGCTAATCGAAATATTAAAAGTTTGAGTCTACCCAGAGGTACCTCAGAAGAAAGGCCTGGTGATCTGCTTCTGAAAAAAAAGGCCATTGAAAACACTATGGAGCACAGTTCCGCTCTGACACACGTGGGGTCATCATGAGTTGGCAGCTGGCTTTAACTGGTGGTTATTTCTCAGCTTCTGAGCATTTTTGCTTTTTAATATCCCGGCCAAAGGTATGGGACTGGAGGTGGAGGAGAAGGATATTCTGAAACATACCGAGCCCCAGTTTCTCATGCAGTCTTCCTCAGACTGGCCAAGGGGTTTGGCAGAACATTCTGTAAAAAGTGGAACTGGCTTTACTTTTCTTGACTGTTCCAAAGGCTACAAGTACCCCAAAGCTGCAAATATGCATCCTGCACACTCAGTGGTGTGTTTCCCCACCCTTCTCCAAGAGAGCCAAGGTGCGGCGTCCCCTGAGAAGTTCTGCCAGCTGCGAGGGCGTCTGGGTTTTCCAGCACAGTTGAGTGATTCACAGTGAAGTGGGCCGGGTGAGGCCCTGGAGCAGAGTGTAGGAGCCCCACTGCGGCCAGACACTGTTTTCTCCCCCATGCAGAGCTCTGCGGGGGGTGCCGTCTTTGCTGTGTGGCCGCCAGCTGGAAGCGCAGCCGAGAGATGTGGACTGTTTATCTGTGGGTTTGGTGTGTTTGTTTTCTGTTTGCCTAAGATGGGGTTGAGGAGGTGGTGGGGCTAGAATGGAGACGGAGAAGTCAGCAGGGGGAGAACTGACTTCCCTTAATTGCTAAGAACGTTGAGGTCGTTTCTCAAAATGACCCCTAACTCTTAAATTCTACTTGGAGCCTCTTTATTGAGTGCCTAATCGTGTTCCTAAGGGGGAATTGGTGATTCAGGGGTAGAACCTATGTAAGAAAAGGAAGGCATCGATGGTTCAGTGGTAAAATTCTCACCTTCCATGTGGCGGGTTCGATTCCCAGCCAGTGCACCTCATGCACAGCCACCACCCATCTGTCAGTGGAGGCTTGCTTGTTGCTATGACGCTGAACAAGTTTCAGTGGAGCTTCCAGACTAAGACAGACTAGGAAGAGAGGCCTGGTGATCTGCTTCTAAAAATCAACAGTGGAAACTCTGTGGATCACAATGGTAGGATCAGCAGTGGATCCTGGGGATGGCGCAGTACCGGGCAGCATTTCCTTCAGTTGTGCATGGGGTTGTCCTGAGTTGGGGACCAACTGGAGGGCAACCAACAACAACAGCACAGTACCTAGCAGGCATGGCACGGGCTTCGTGAGAGAGCGGGTCATTGCCCTCCAGCTGCTTATATAATCTGCTGAGCAGGGAGGGGACGGTTGTGAAAGCAACTACACAGAAGAATTTAATTAGGCACCATGAGCAGAGCTGGAAATGCTCTGGATGTCCAGAGTGGAGGGAAGGGCCATGTGGGGGGTTATTGGCTAGGAAAGGCTTCGTAGAAAAACTGGCAAGTGAGATGTCATTTTAAAGATTGAGAAGAAGTAGCACATTCCAAGGTGGAAGAGAAAGCAGAGAAGTGGCCAGTGCTTCTGTGAGCCTGCCTGCATGCATTCAATATGTCTTAGTCGTCTAGTTCTGCTATAACAGAAATACCACAAGTGGATGGCTTTAATAAAGAGAAATTTATTTCTTCACAGTAAAGTAGGCTGAAAGTCCAAATTCAGGGTATCAGCTCCAGGAGAAGGCTTTCTCTCTCTGTCGGCCTTCTCATCAATGTTCCCCCAGACTAGGAGCTTCTCCACACAGCCACCCCGGCTCCAAAGGACACGCTTTGCTCCCAGCACTGCTTTCTTGGTGGTATGAGGTCCCCAACTCTCTGCTTGCTTCCCTTTCATCTCTTGTAAGATAAAAGGTGGTGCAGGCCACACCCTAGTAAGGGTGTTACAATCCCACCCTAATCCTCTTTAACATAAAATTACAATCATATTATGGAGGACAACCACACAATACTGTGAATCATGGCCCAGCCAAACTGATACACATGTTTTTGGGGGAACATAATTCAATCCATGATACAACACAAGTCTTCCTCTCCGGGGTGGGCAACAGCCTGGTGTGCCAGTCATTCCAGCCGGGATGTGGTTAGGCCCCTTTTCTCCTACTGCCTTTCCCTCCCCTGGCTCGTCACACGGTACTCCGAGGACAGAGGGGCCCAGAAAAGGTGGAAAATCATCGCAGTGGCTTTGTGCTTAGTTTGGCATATACTACGTGGGGATGGGCACCAGGGTCGGGTTTTTGTTTTTGTTTTTTAAACTTTACAAGTATTTACATATGTCTTTATTTTAAACAGCTCTGTTGAGATATAATTCCCACACCACACAGTTTACTCATTTAAAGTGTACAATTCAGTGGTTGTTATTAGATTCACCGAGTTGTACAGCCATCACCAGATTGTAATTTTAGGGCATTTTTCTCACCCCAGAAAGAAACCCATCAGCAGTCACTCCCCAGTGCTCCCCACCCCCCCAGCCTGAGGCGACCACTAGTCCACTTTCTGTCTTTAACAGATGCACCTGTTCTGGCCGTTGCATATAAATGGAATAATATGATATGTTGTCCTTTGTGACAGCATCTTCAATTTAGCGTGCCGATTTTAGGGTTCATCCATGTTGTAGCATGTATCAGCACTTCGTTCCTTTTTATTACTGAATGATACTCAATAAAATTGAAATTAAAAAATAAAATTGAAAATATTCGATAAAATAAATTTCAATAAAATGCATAATATCACAGTTTAAATATTTATCATCTGTTGGTGGACATGTGGCTTGTTTCCACTTTTTAGCTGTTGCGGACAGTGCTGCTGTGAACATTCATGTACAGATTTTGTGTGGAGATATGTTTTCATTTCTCTTGGTTACATACCTAGGAGTGGAATTATTGGGTCATATGACAGACAGCTCTGTTTAACATTTTGAGGAACTGCCAAACCATTTTCCATTGACACCAGCATGCATGAGGGTTCTGATTTCTCCACACTTTCACCCACACTTTACTTTTTGTCTGTGTGATTGTAGCCATCCTAGTGGGTGTGAGGTGGTATCTCTTTGTGGTTTTGATTTTCATTTCCCTAACGACTAATGACATTCTGCATCTTTACATGTGCTTTTTGGCCATATGCATATCCTCTGGAGAAGCTCTCTTCAGATCCTTTGCCATTTTTTTTTTTTTTTTAGTTGTTTGCCTTTTTGTTATTGAATTTTAAGGGTTCTTTATATATTACTCTGCTTTTTGTGTCATATCTAACCCAGGGTCATGAAACCCTGATGTTTTCTTCTAAGAGTTTTATGGTTTTAGCTTTTACATTTAGGTCTTTGATCCATTTCGAGTTAATTTTTATGCCTGGTATGAGGAAGGGGCCCCACTTCATTCTTTTACATGTAGATATCCAGTTGGCCCAGCACCAGTTTTTGGTAAGATTTTTCTTTCCCCATTAAATTGTCTTGCCCCTTTTTTTGAAAACTTATTGACCATAAATGTAAGGGTTTGTTTCTGGATTCTCACTCCTGTTGCACTGATCTACATGTCTGGTATCATTATCTTTGAAGCTCCTCAGGTGACTCCATGTGTGGTTGAGGTTTAGAACCATCCTGCTGGGGTCGGGAGTTGGGGTGGTCTCTTTGGGAGGCAGCACAACCCAGGGTTGCTGAATACTTCATTACAGGAGCTCAGATGATCGGTTCTTCACTGACTAGTAAGATTTGCCAGGTGCTTTTTAAAGATAGATTTCTGGCTCCTGTGCACTGGAGGGCCCTGTTGGGGTGGGGCGGGGTGTCTGTGTGTGGCTTCTCTACACGGACACTTCTCCCTGCTGGTTGCCAAGTTGATTAGATCCTTCAGGAACCTGTGTGTTTAATGAGCTCTCAGGTAGTTGTAGGATCAGGCTGGCTTACACAATACCAAATCTGCAGACCAGACCATTAGTAGAGGCCTGTATACCTGCACTGAGATCCTCCCACAGAATTGCATTCCCAAGTTTCTCTTGGGGCGATACCATCACTCTGTGTTAAGGGCGTTTGCCAGAAACTGCCCTATGGAACCCCTTGCCAAGTTTTCTATGAGCTCTCCACTGGGCACCATACTTAACGTTGCCTCAGACCAAACCCACACAGATACTGTTATACCCGCATTTCTTGCCCATCCACCTTCTTTCTTTATTTAAAATTTCCATAGCACTTATCAAGAATGTTTACTATTTATCTTGTCTGTCTGTCCACCCTAGATTGGAAACTCCATGAGGGGAGGAGGGGTTTTCATTTCTGTGTTTTTAGTTGACTGCAACACCCCCAGCTCCGAGAACAGTGTCTGAAACGTAGAAGGCACTCAGTCAACATTTGTTGAGTGAATGGAAGGATATTGTTGAGATTGGGGAACGAAGGAAGAGACTTCTTTATTTCAGTGTTAGCAGCAGTCATTCTGCTTTTTTTTTTAACCTCATGGCTCTGTGAATCCTGGAAGTACACGTTTTTCTCTTTGCATGGGTCACTCAAAGATTCCCACCATGTTTACATCCAGTCTCTAACAGGTATGTAGGACTGAATGACCTATGTGTCATGTACTAACCTCTAACCTTATTGTTTTTTTTTTTTAATTTATCTTGCTGTATTGTGTCGATTTCTGCAAGCTGCCTAAATCCTCTTTGGAAACTGGCTGGGTGTTAATTAATACTATCTGAGTCACTCCTGTTGGTCTGGGAGACTGAACGCTTGGGTTTTAGGTGGGAGTAGGAGTGAGAGGGGAATTTTGTAAAAACATGAATTCCTTTTTCATTTCCTTTTTTCTTTTTTAGGATAGAATTTTTGCGACATTTGAAGAGCTTTTTCCAGATTATGTTTAAAATTGAAACCAAGCCGTGTGGTGAAGAGCTCAAGGGCGGAGATAAAGTGCTGATGACCTGTGTTGGCATTGGTTTCTCCAACCTTAGCAAGACCCTCAAGTGATACTGTCACAAGATAAGGCCGCCGCGCCTGCACACAAAACTGAAGCTGCTGAGACACCAGAGGGAACAAGTCCAAGTTCATTCATCGGGGACAGGACAGCCTCTTATAGTAGAGACTTCCTTAATCTTCCGTTGAGAAAGCCAGAACACATAAATACAAGGCATCTCTATAGCATGTGATTGCCCGCCATTTCTCCAGTAGCATTGACATTCCTCAGGAAGCCTGTCACGGTAAGAGTGTCCTTGGCTTATCTGATGGGAGAGTGTGTCTCAGGACGGTTACACCTGCTGGACCAACATCACAACTGCATTGCAGTAATGCTTCCTCAGCCCCACATCCCTGCACTTCTGTTTGTGGCCTTTTTCCAGGCCTGTGGAGTCTCTTACTGTTCTTTCTGCAAGGACCTCTCTGAACCTTGGTTTCTGTTGTAGGGATTAAATGAAATATGTGGAAGCTCTTTGTCAGTAGTGCCGTGTTATGCGAATGTCAGATTGGTATATCATACTGCTTTATCCCTTATCTTCTGAGTGGACTGCCATCTTGGGGACAGATGCTGCCTCCATGTGGTTCATTGTGTGTGGGAGGGAGTTTGGGGACAGCAAGTGTCCAACTAAAGTTATCACGTTTTCTACATGCCAGATGTGTTACAGATTTTCTTATTTTTGCAATTGCCCTGTGATACAGATTTTATTAATCTTCACAAGAAGAAGAATTTTAAAAGAATATTCCATTGAATGATTAAAGCGCTAAGTATAGTCATACCAGGGTCTGGGGTTTTAAACTACTTGTGAGCTAATAACTATCCAGTCTTTCGTGGATGCTGGCAGAAGACATGAGACTCCTGGTCAGAGACAGAGAACTTTATTACTCACAATATAGCAAATGGCCTGAGTTTCGTGTTGTGTCAGTTCTCCTCTCCCTCTGAAGTCTCACGGGGGCAGTGTGCAGGGGCCCCAGGTAATGCCACATATGAAGTGGGCTGGCATCACAGCCAAGAAACAAACAATCTTGGGGGCTGCTCCTCTTCTGTAGTAAGAGCAGTAAGTCTGCTCTGTTCTGCATGGAAACATTGTCTCATCCCTCCAGAGTGCTTGCTGCAAACACCATTCTGAGAAAGGGCCTGGCTAAAGAATGACAGAGCCTTGCATTCTTGGCCTACCCGACAAGAATGTACAGGGACACGCTGGGCCCGTGACAGATTGCCTCTACCAGCTGATAGCATCTACATTTACTGTGTGTTATGGGGTCGGAGTTGACAGAAGAGGGTGGATCTAATTTTTTTCTACTAGGATTTCAAATGGTGTCCTCCACCTGAGGTGGGCTCTTGAAGTAAGGAAAAGTCTTTGCCTCACCAGTCCCTCTTGGTACACTTTTCTTTTTTAGTGAAGGGGGACCAGAGAAATCTGCTCTGATGACTGGGGGTATGGGAGGATGTGGGGGTAAAGAGCTAATATTTAGAAAGGCCTGGCCATCCTGAACCATGGCCCTATGCTGAGAGCTTTACATACCACGTTAGTTTTCTATTGCTGTGTGCAAATGACCACAACCTTAGAGGCTTAAAACAACATCCATTTATTATCTCACAGTTCTGTAGATCAGAAGTCCAGACAGTCTTGTTGGGTTTGCTGATTAGGGTCTCATGAGGCTGCAGTCTCAGTATTAGCCAAGGCTGACCTCTTCTCTGGAGGGTCCAGGAAGGAATCTGTTTCCAACTCACTTAGGTTGTTGGCAGAACTCAGTTTCTAGAGGTACTCGGACCGAAGTCCCCATTTCCTTGCTGGCTATCAGCTAGGGGAGACAGCTTCTAGAGGCTGCATGTGTTCTTCGTCACACTGCTCCCTCCATCTACAAGCCAGCAGCTGTACATCGAGTCCTTCTCATGCTTCAGTTCTGACTTCAGCTACCAGCTGGAGAAAACTCTGCTTTTCAAGCACTCATAATTACATTAGTCCCACCGGGATAAACACATCCAGTTGCCATCGAGTTAACTCCAACTCATGGTGACTCCATGAATGTCAGAGTAGAACTGTGCTCCATCAGGTTTTCAGTGGCTGGTTTTTTTGGAAGCAAATTGCCAGGGCTTTCTTTGAAGGAGCCTCTGGGTGGACTTGAACATCCAACCTTGCATCTAACATGCAGCTGAGCATGTTAACTATTTGCACCACCCAGAGAATTTACCTATTTTAAGGTCAACTGATTAGTAACCTTAATTACATCTGCAAAATCCCTTCACTAGACTAGCATTTGATTGAATTACCAGGAGCTGGGAATCTTGGGCGACGACCTTAGAATTCTGCCTGCCACACGTACTGCAAACTTCTGCTGACATTGGAACCCAGATCTGCCCATCTCAGATCCAGAACTAAGGGGCCACATTGCATTTGGGTATGTCAAATTCTGTCCTACAGGGAGGGGCCTTCTGTCCCTTGGAACAGGCTCTGGGCATGGTGCTGTGGGTCGAGTTCAGGTGGCATATAGAGTCTAGGCAGTTTATTGCAAGCAGTCGAGGGGACATGTGCCCTGTCAGCTGAAAACATGGGACGTGTCTGGTGGCTTCCGGCCTTCCATCTGGCACATCTGCTTCTGGAGTTGGAACATCTGGCAGTAGGATGATGATGCCAAAAGGAACAGCCTGCTCCAGGCTTCTTGTATTCCCTGGAGAGGCACTGCCATTGTTTGGGCAGAAGCCATTCTGTGCTGGTTGCGGGTACATCTTCCTGACCCCTGCCGTCCCTGCCTTGTTCTTAGTTTAGCTCCTGGTTGGTACAGCCACCCCCTAAGACAGTCTGATGAGAGAGATTCCAGTGCTTTGGGGCCTGGTTTTTCTGCCTTGGCCTGTCTGCTCCCCTCTGCTGACAGACACAGTGCTTTGGTTCAGTAGGATTAGTGACTTTTTTTAGGCAGATAGACCTGTGACCTTGTTGAGGGTGATGGTGGAGTCATTGCCTTTACCTTCCTGTCATCTCCCAGGCCTGCTTCTGTCTTTCAATACCTTTCAGCTGCATTCTGTGCAAACACCAGCCAGCCTCCCTCCATTATGACTGTTTTACCATACTCGTCAAAAACGGTCGATAAGGGGTGGGAGGAAGCTAGGGCATTGCAGCATGACATGCTGATTGGAAAATAACAACAGGAACTCCCGCTGGAACCCCAACTGCCTCTTAGGGTAGCTGAACCTCGTGGTTGGTGAAGGACGTCTAATTATAGACCTAAGTGAAAAAATAAGAACACAAGCTGTGCTATAATGCCTGTCCCCTCACTGCCACTCCCTACAATGAAAGACCGTGAGAGGGCCATTTCCCACTGAGGCCCTTCAAGTTACGAGGCTCCTAGGTGAGGCCAGTTTTATGGTGACCAAGTAGGAGAGCTAATGCTAAAGAAGTAGGCAGGGTAGAGTCGAGGAGTACTGAAGAAATGGGTAAAATGGACAGCAGGTAGAAACATCAGGAAGAAGGGGATTTCCAAAGTTTTGGTGCCCAAGATGGGGGTAGGATTCACCTGGTGAGGTGGGGGGATCAGGGAGGGCTGTAGAAATGGAAAGTGGGCTTTGGTCAAGGATGTGGGGGTTGCATGCGAGGTTCCGTTGATCCTACCTGTTGTACTTCCTTGGAGACCTGTGGATGTCATAGTGGGCAATTTGAGCCAGTCAGATGGATGGGAAGGCAGTGCCACACGCCATATGCCCCACCTGGTATCTCCAGTGTTCCTCACCTGACTTCAGGGTGGGCGAGAGTAACTTGGGCTTAGTAGGAGTTTTCATGTTCACATGCCCCTGACTTGTGCTTTAGAAGTGACTAATAGTGGGAATATCTCCAGCAGAAGACCTCTTTAAAGTGTTTAAAAGCTAAGATGTCACCTTGAAGACTAAGGTGCTCCTGACCCAAGCCATCATGATAAATGGAAAAAATATTGAAGTTGTCAACGATTTCATTTTACTTGGATCCACAATCAATGCCCATGGAAGCAGCAGTCAAGAAATCAAAGAACGTATTGCGTTGGGCAAATCTGCTGCAAAAGCAAAAACATCGCTTGGAGGACTAAGGTGCACCTGACCCAAGCCATGGTGTTTTCAGTCGCCTCATATGCATGCAAAACCTGGACAATAAGGAAGATTGAAGAAGAATTAATGCCTTTGAATTGTGTTGGTGAAGAATATTGAATATACCATGGGTGTCAAAGAATGAACAAATCTGTCTGGGAAGAAGTGCAGCCAGAATGCTCCCTAGAAGGAAGCAAGGATGGTGAGACTTCATCTCACATACTTTGGACATGTTATCAGGAGGGATCAGTCCCTGGAGAAGGACATCATGCTTGGTAAAGTAGAGGGTTAGTGAAAAAGAGGAAGACCCTCAATGAGATGGACTGACACAGTGGCTGCAGTAATGGGCTCAAGCATAACAACGATTGCGAGGATGGCGCAGGACCAGGCAGTGTTTCTTTCTGTTGTACGTAGGGTCGCTATGAGTCGGAGCCAATTCGACAGCACCTAATAACAACAATAGTGGGAATATGGAGCCCTGGTGGCACAGAGATTAAGTGCTTGGCTGCTAACTGAAAGGTCAACGGTTTGAACCCACCAACCACTCCGTGGGAGAAAGATGTGGCAGTCAGCTTCTGTAAAGATTACAGCTTTGGAAACCCTATGGGGCAGTTCTGCTCTGTCCTATAGGGTCACTATGAGTCCAAATTGACTGGACAGCAATGGGTTAATAGTGGGAATGTCAACAACCCAGTCGGGGCCTTAATACTTCCATTGGCCAGACCTTAATACTTCCATTGGCCAGACCTAAGAAGCCATTGAAGGGGAACACTTTGTTAAAATGTTTAGCATTTTAGGCCTAGCTATATCACTGCTTTGAACACTTGTATACTCCTTTACTCAAGCAAAAATAAAAGCTTCATTTGGTCAGGGGCTGCCTGGGACTGGGGCTGCCCTAACTCCTTGTCCCATTTGGCCATATTGTCAGATGGTCTGACCCAACCACAAGCAGTGGCCTGGGGTCAGCACATTGTGATGGGCCAGGTCAGAGGTTTTGTACTTGGGCCCCTCCCTCTCTGCCTGTCCCTCCTGCCTGCATCTTCTGAAGCTGGTGGTTCTGGATGTAGGTCCTGCCCTGCTGAGACTTCTGTGGGGGCTGCTGGGCGGGTAATGGTGCTCTCAGGAGGCCAGTGTG